ACTTGTAAACAATATGACATAACACAGTCCCAAGGCCTACGAAAATAAATGTATAAGCTGTAAACGAAATTACTCCGAAACTATATTTTCTTTTGTTGAAATTCGATTCTTTAGTTTATTTCTGGGTTACAAAAAGTGGAAAAACTTATGATAATATGTATGTATAATGAATAAAAATAATTATGTAATATACCTACTCGATGTTTCTACCATTTCTTTTTCTTTGATTTAAAAAAGTTAACACAAAACCAAGCAGTATAACATGTATTTACAGGGCTATTCGAATTCTATATGTTAACATTACAATTGTATTTTATTTGTTACGTGAAATATGAATAACTCTGTGTAAGGTTATACTTTAGAAAAGCCAACCTTCTGCGATTTTCAATAGCCACGGGGTTCGTTTGAGATACCGAGAAACTCTATAGGGTATTTCTATTCATAAGTTTGGATTTACCAAGTTATACTTTTTACCACGCAGGGGCCAACTCCTTTTTAGGAGGTCACGTAAAGTTTTTCAATATTGGGATTAACATTATTTCTTTACTCCGAGAATATCAATTTAATTTCTATCAGACTAATATCGTTACCATAAGTTTTGTCGCATAAAACTTGAATGTTTCATATATATATATATATATATATATATATAAGCCGCGTGGATTATCTTAACTAAAACGACACAAGTTTTACCTGAAATATTAAAATTGAACATAGTTAGAAATAACGACAGAAACATAACGTGTATGTACGTAAACACAGTTAATGTGTTTATAATTTAACCAAAGCTTATAAAAAAAATCTTGTCGGTTCATTCACATATACCTAGTTGTACTTACAAACCATTTACATACATAAATAAGTACATTATTACAATGTCAAATATTTCCTTGGCTATTGTTTTTGTACCTTATACCATGAAAATACTATAAAAAAAAATATTGGCTTTATTTTCACATATTTTGTAAATAGCAATTATTACCTATAAATAAAACGGCGCCACAGATAGGCAAATGTGGTACACAACTGTCACGCGATAAAAATATTGTACTTTTTTTCTTTTTCAAAAAATGGAATTATTTGTTATAGATAATAATATGTTTATCGTGTATTCGCTGTGTACACATTTGAACAACCTATTTAGTAGGTAGTTATCAAATATGTGTATACAAAATATATTATTATATATTTATTTGGTGTCTAACCAAACTTAAGAATAGATGACAATTATTTCTTTGTAAAAAAGAAAAAGTACTCATCTACATTTTATTAATTAACCATTATGTTGACAATAAATATTACAGCTTAATAAAATTCAATATTATTTTTTCAAAAAACCTCTGATAATTAATTGTATTTAGTTACATTTTTTTAATATAGTTACCAATCTTAAAGGTTAAATTAATGTTTTGTTTTTTCTTATAAGGTTGGGTTGATAATAATTTCGAGTATCATATTCAATTTTAATTCTAAATATGCTATTTTTTGTTTCATTTTTTTACTTTTACGCGAACAATTGATACCAAGTGAAAAATCTTATGGTGTAAGGTTTTGCCTCTTCACAGCCACTATCTTTGTGCATTGGCGCATACACATTTTTCCACCAAGTGAGCATTACTATTTTTTTTCGCTTGCTTATTCTTATCTAAATCTATTTGAGATTATGATCGACATTTTTTTTTTCAATAACAACGAGTTTTTTCCCCTGCATTTTCCATAATCGATTTTCTATTATAGCAAAACACAATGCATTGTAAGTCTGCCAATGACGTTACTCGACAACAATGGAACCAAATCGGCGCTGAATTATATATTTTTTTTCATAGATAAACGCTTACATAGATGAACCATGACAGCCCACTGGTTTTTATTTTTAGTCGTTCCCTATTAAAAAAGAAAGTGTAGGTGTGGGAAAATGATTCTGAATTATTTTAGGAACATGTTAATTCGGTAAATAATGCCATAATAAATTATTAGCATTGTACAAACGTTTACAGATAAAATTAGGAACACAGTTTACATTACATACATAACAAACCGGTAACTACTAGAACAAATAGAATAAGTACAAACTTACAACACATAACTCAAGTAAGAGATTTATGTCAATAATTCTTCAGAGTATATATGGTCATTAAATAAAAAAATATATTAAGTGGGGTTGAAAACCCATTTATCAGATCCAAATACATAGAAATTAAATTTTAAGATGTTATATTAATACATACAACCGTATTTCAACAAGGCTTTGTTATTTACTATGTGTAAACGGCTACAATTTCTGTAAAATCAAACACACATATTAATAGTTTCATAAAATATATTGTACAAGTAGTTCCTCGAATATTGACTTGTATTTTCTTTGTTAAACTGTTCTACGGATCTTTCTTAATTAATCTTTTTTTTTTTTCAATTAGTGTAAATCCAAAAATACCGAAGTCAAGTTATTTATATGTCATTTATAGTATACAATATTTTTACCGGTCCTGTTTATCGATTAAATATCAATCATTCATTTCAGACTATACTTAAAAATTCTTGGTGGGAATCTGAGAAAACCTTTGAAAAAATGCATTCGATTTTTGTATTCAACTCAAACAATTTGGAATCTGTCCAAAACTGTTTTTGACATTCTATAGACAATACGCCCCTATTACCCCCTAAAAAAAAAAATAAGTTTTACTTACAATGTCGAAAAAAGGTCCCCAGAGATGTTTTTTTTTTTTAGTCTAAGTTTTGAGTGGAAGCTTAATTACGTCTGAACATTATATTACAATGTTAATTGCGCGTCTCGAACTGCGTCGATATTCTTAATAATAATTACATTGCCGGCCGTTTTAAATAAAATAACCCAATTAACACGAGTGCTCTTGGACGACCAGGTGAAATTATTCAAAAAAACAACGGCGTTGAAACGGTGGCTAATGGTTGTAATTTATCTTAGCCCAGAGACGTCTACTAATGTCCGTACACAAAATGAACATCCAACATCTTTATCAAAATCATTTGTGCACACTATTCCTGAGCTACGCGGGCGAAAAGAAATACATAATTTTGGTTTATTTGTTTGTAGGCAAAACAAAGAGCAATACATTGCTCTGTTCCATATAGTAGATAATGTGTGTTTAAGCGATAAAACTACATTAAACTGTGGCAATATACCTAGATATACGTAATAAAACATACTACTTAGAACGTTGTAAAAAAAGTTTCAACTCGAACAAAGTTTTTAAATTAAACGACGTGTATTTTAGTAATAAAACACCTACACTGTACAACCGCCTAAACTTGACATTAAACACATACTATTCCTGAGACATGCAATAAACAAACTAAACTATCTTAATTTTTGTTGCCATTGTCTAGAAGTCAGAGTTGACAAATTTAAACAGAAAGTACCCCTGACTCATCCATTAAACAAATATATATATTATGCAATACATTTTATTATAAGTAACAGGTTTTGGAATTGAGAAAATCCAATAATAGTTTGTACATTTATTCAAGTACTATGATAATTTTTTATTGACAAAATGAGTAATTAAAAGGATAATTAAAATTATAATATGAATTGCTTTCGAGTCGACTATTTCCTGTACGCATTTCTGAACTGTTATGGAATATTGTATAGTACACGGTTTAGATGAACTTTACCAGTTATTCAATTCCACATAAACGTTAATAAAACACTAGTTTGATGTTGATGTATATATTTTCTACTGGAAACCCATCGAATAATTGTATTTAAATGAATTTTAACATTTAATTATTACAATAATAATAACAACCCTGTCTTTTATAATTTTCATTTGATTGTTTTTCAAAAAAATATATAACTATATTTTATAAAGCATGAACAATAAGAGTTGTTGTTACATAACTATTGTTTGTTTAATGTAATTACTTAACATTCAATTATCAACTGTATACCATTATGAATGCTCTCGGATTACGCAACAGAGCTATAAAAAATATACCAAACTCCTCTTGAAATTTTTTCATATATCATACAAATTTAAATGCCCGAGAAAATGAAATATTTTGATAAAAAAACGAAAAATAATAGTAGAAGTATATTTGTAAAGTAAACAAAGGATACTCGTTGTCGAGGTATCAACAAGTTGGTGAATTTCGGAATGTCTAAAATGTTAGAAACCTAATGAACAATGTAATCTGTAGAATTTAAATAGGTAAGAGAGACAATATTCTGATATCTAATTTCGAGCATTCTAAATTGTTAAAAAAAAAAGGCAAACATTGTAAACGAATGCTATTCGGGTCAATATGAAATGTTTGCCAATGCAATGTATAGCCCCCTAGCCCCCCTCTGTTACTACGGTAAAACATACAGTCTAATCTTAATATTTTTTTTTATCTTTGACGGCATTCGAAAAAAGACAAATTAGGTTTGCAAATAAAACGAGTGTTTGCACTTTCTTTGATTAGATTTTGCAAAGCGCATTGTAAATCAAACCTTTTTTCGGAAACGTGTAATACAAAATAATCGCCGAGGCAAACGACCGTTATTACCTACAGGTTTTACTATTTTAACCCTTCAGCGCGGCGAATTTTATTTTGTCAGAAGAAATTAATTTATCTACCAGAATTCCTGAAAATGTAATGTATATAAATAAAAAAATTGTATATTATAAAATGTTTTAAAAAAACGGGTATTGAAGGGTTAATATTTTAGAAAATATGTGAACAACATTTTTTTGATTACTTCATTTTTGTTTTGTTATACACGTGCAAAATAATATGTGTGCTATAATGTGTTTGTTATGATTCAAAACGGAAAACTTTTAACGCTCGTTTGTCCGTTTTACATTTAGTTGAAAACAACAATGCAATAATTGTTTATCGAGTTTGAATATTTTTCCAATTTTTTTTTTATTACCTTCCACGCGTGGCCGATGAATAGATATTAATTTTACAATGATAGTAAGAATTTGTTTATTAAGTGTTAAAAAAAAATATATATATACATAAAAAATACATACCGACTGTCTGGTTCCGGAAATAGTTTTGTGGTAAAAAAAAAAAAAAAATAAAAAAACCGGAAAAAAGGGTCACTGTCGACCGTTTCGAAAAAAAAACACACACACGCCGGCGACGGGTTAAACCAACTCGGTGGGTCGAGGTGGCGGTTGCGGCTGCGGCAAAGCGGTTGTCCACTCGAATGTCGGCGGCCAAGTGCGGCGCGAACGTTACACAACGCGTCCGATGAGAATGGCACACGGCCGGCGGCGGCGGCGTCGGACGCGGTGGTAGTGGCTTCGGAGGCGGCTCGGCGCGGCGCACCGTCGTATAAAGTTCAACGGTATCGCTGCTCTGCCGTGTTAACGTGGCCGTCGCGCCGGCGGGCAGGGCGAGCGGCGGCGGCCGTCGGACCATCGCGCGGGCGCGATCACCCGCCGCCGATGACGGACACCGCCATCACCGTGTGCCGCCGCTACCGTTGCCGCACCGCAGCACACAGCAAACAAGTGGTTCGTGCAACAGCGTAACGAGACGGCGGCCGATTCGACCTACTTGCGGTGTGCGGCGCTCACACACTATCATCCACCGTCTTAATCTTGTGTCATTTTTGGTTTTTTCCTTACCGCCATTTTTTGTATCTTTACCGTGGAACCGAAAAGGTATCGTTATTTTTTTTTTTATAATAATCAGTGTTTTTGCTTTTAAATGATTTCGATTTCATTTATGACGTCGATATTAATTGAAATATTTGTTAAATTTACATTTCAACACCCGGCATCGAATTTTGGAATAACAATAAAATCAAATATTTATACTTAAAAATATTTCGAATTGTATTCTGTATATTACGGTAAAGAGTATTAAATATACGTTTGAAACTACACGTGTAATATTAATCGTGAGTAAAACTGTTTATTATTTAATACATTATATGAATTGACACCTATAAGTGCAATATGAAATAGGATATTAGTGAAATATGAAAATACTGTTACAATTAAATAGCAAAAGTATTATACAATTTTAGACCAGATTCATACAATTGATTCCTGGTCTAAATTATCTTAAGTGCTCCTCTAGTAGTCGTACTGTATCGTCATCTGGGCTTATTTGCCACCATTCGCCATTAATTTTTTTGAATATTTTTTGTGTAATTCCATCATCCAGGGTACAAGTATTAATTATGGGGTCAATCCAAATCTCTTTTATGTATGATGTTGGAAATTGTGTACTCATGTATAATCCCATCAAACGACACATTTGGAATAAAGAGACATCTCTTACAGGTCCATCTAAAAAAATAAAAAAACATTTTTTTTTTTAATTTGCTAAAATTAGCCTATTATTTAACTATTCTGTAACATAAAATAAAGCAAATTTCAACTTGAAAACAAGCATTAAATACCATTTATGACTATCGAGAAATTCGTATTTTATGAGGTCGTATAAACTACTAACAAATACATCAAATTATAATGCAATTAAAAAACCCGGTTTATATATTTTTGTATAATATAACAGCCACTCTAAAAACCATACAACTCCATAGATCTAGTATTTACCGAATACGCGCCATTCGATTATATTTCTTGGAGATGTTCCAGTAACTCTTCTCGCTTCTACTAGGGATGTCAAATTGAAACCTAAAACAATTATTAAATGACTGTGTTGAGAAGAAATCATAAAAAATATTTTAGTTGCTCTTAATAAATAATTTCACCCGTTTAGGTGCGGTCGGCTTTGTACTTATTTTATTATTCGCGTTATACACAGTATTTATTGAAATAATAATAAGATACATAATAAATAACCAATCAACATAAGAATATAACTATTATATTATTGAAAAGACACGATAAGCTCAGCAGTACTGTATCTCTAATCTCTTATCATATAGATTAAGTGAGATTAGGTTTAGTGGTAACAGTTATCATTTGAAGCCAAAATTAGTTGCTTTTTCTGCCATTAAGAGGCTTTTATGAAAGGTCATGGTGTGAAACTACTAATAATACCTATATAGCTATGATTTAGGGATTTACATAGATTTTTAATAGTTTTTCTTTACAACTATAAATATTTAATCTTATATATTTTTAAAATTTTGTATTTACCTAATGTAACTCTTCTTTCTAGTTTCATCAATAACTGGTAATATATTGTTCCTAAAATTTAAAACAAATTATATTTTAATGTAGCTACATATTTTTTATCGATGCAACCAATATGGCTGGAAATTATTTGGATAATTGTTTAAATCAAAATTATTTGTATTCTTCTTATATTGTGGTGAATTACTCGCTATGAAGTACCTATACAAATATATTAATGGTTCAAAACCCATACAACTTCATAATAATATTTACCTATTATACGTTTGAATATATTTTTTAAAGCTTTTTTAACAAGAATTCTTCTTTCATCTGCAAGGTCTGTCAAATCTAATCTTCCAAAATCTGTGAAAATGATTAAATGACTGTGCTTTGCCGAGAAATAATAAAAATAAAACATATCTTAGTTGCTCTTGATACATAAATACTGCATTAAATTTTTGTACAACTAGTCATTAGTGTTAAAACCCAACGGTTGTATAATTTCTACACATGAAATTCCAAAGAACTTATTACACATTAACAATGTAGTAAACTTAAAATTTTATTTCTACAACAAGGTTTAAATTTTAAAGGCTAATCACGACTACCGAAAAATTCGAAATTACCTTGGTGTTCTTCAGCTTTAGGAATATCAATTTCTGTAACAAATACATCCAATCATTAAGCAGTTAATAAAACCCGGTTTATACATTTTATATTTTATACACAACAGTCAGTCTAATACCGATATAAATTTGACCAATTAAGTATTATTGTATAAATTGTAATTTATTTCCAATTGGAACCTTTGAATAAACTTTTTTCACTATAATTTGAATGATCATCAAAAGCGTAAGCATAAAACATACATTATTTTTTGAATGCTATCAATAGATTTTTTATATTTTTTCTATAAAACTACAAGTATATATAATTATCAATTTTTTAAATTTTATATTTACTTAATGTATTTGCTATTTCGGTTTGCATAAAAATCTGGTATTGCCTGCGTTCTAAAATTAATAACAAAAGATGTTTTTAATCTGCCTACATATTTTTTATGGCTGAAACCAATATGTCCTATTAGTATTTGTCAATAGGTACATATGATTGTTCTCAAAGTATTTATAAATAATGAATATGCGTTAAGTATATTAAATATGTAATATACAAATGTAGTTACTTTTCGCTGGGTGAAAGTATTCTAATCCTGAAATTTAAACAAAATTCTGTGTGCATAAAAAATATCAAACAATATTTCCATAATGTACAATGAAAATTATTACCTGGTATAATGCTGACGATATCCGTTTGGTCTGAAATTAACATGACATACAGCAATTATATTGCATTTAATTTTCCAATATTATTACAGGAAGACAAGGCTCATAAAATATAACGAAAACTTTATTACCTGGCACAGCGATCATAATATTAATTTTGGCTGAAATTGACATTATATAAAGTAATGGTATTAGATTTGATTAGCTATTATATATTATTGTTTTATTATATAATTATAGATTGGAAGACGAAGGTCAAAGTAGTAAAAAACTATATTAAATAGACTAGGAAATTTTTATAAAAATAACATGGCTGCATGGAAACAGATTGAAAGACAGAGCTAGCATCAGTATTTTTTTCATAAAGATTCCATTTAGATTTCATGGAAAAAAATATAATAATTGTATCACTTATCAATTACTTAAAGATAAATTTGTGTTGCAATTTTTATATAGTTTTCTACTTTTTTATTATTATAATTATGACTACCAAAACAATTGTAATCTTCATCATTTACAATTTTTTCAATTACATGCTCCAATCCATCTAAAATAAACAGATAACGATTTTGGCTATACTATAAAATTGCAATAAAATAAAACTAGGTAGGTACCATATAAATCTTAATAATAATAATAAACCATGCTTAGCAGTAGCCATTTAACTAACCGCCACTCCATTGACTAAGTTATTAGAAATAGCTACTTTAAATTTAACGTTCTGTACATTATATGATTCTACATAAATGGTGCTCTTTTTTAAAACTATTTATAGAAACTGTACATTTTAATTTACAAACAACTTGACAATTCGGTACATTTTAAAAAAACACTTGTATATTGGCATATTAATTTTAAATATGACTTACTTGCTCCAGATCTATCTTTGACAGTTAAATCATTCTTATTATAAGCAAGCTTGATGGCTGCATCTGTAATACATAATTTAAAAAATTCGTATAAAAACAATTTAAAAAACTTAAAAACCTATTTTTTATAAAACTAAAATATTACTTACTTGTAAAGAAAACTGCCTCCTTATAGCTCGCTGTATAAAAAGTGAAATATTGAATTTTTTTTTTAAATTTATAACTTAAGTTGATAATTGGGAAACTAAAATAATTGAAATTAACTTGAAGGTAATTGAATTACCTTCATCTCTTTCCGTACCATTTACAAGAACAAATGTTAATAAAAAACAGTAAAGTTTCATTTTTATCTGTAAATAATAATAAACAATTTCAGTTAGTAACAGTTGTCTCCGGTACCGAGATGAGAAGGTTTTGGTTTTACGACACTATTTGTATATGATAAATATATATATACATTATATATATACACATTCTCCGCCCCAAGATAAAAAAAGTGGGCACGCAAGTACATAGAAACATGGATATGTCTTATTATACAAGTACAATAAGACCCTGGTACTTTTTTGTACTTTCTAATATCGAATGTTTTTTATCTAATATCTTATCTCTAATCTCTTACCTCAACTCCTGTAACCAGCTGGACCATCTCTTAACTTTTAACTCTTATCTCAATTTCTTTTTAAAATCTATAGCATAGAAAAATTACTTTTTCTTTACTGTAGATTATTACATTTTACATCATAATCAAATTTGAAAAAAAAAATGTATCATAAAACTTGTTTTTAATATTTAAAATTTAATTTTGCAATTACGAATAAAAAATGCTAAACATAAAGTTGTACACGTACATTATGCAATATTTAATACCCTAAAAAGTTGTATTTTTTGTGTTTATTTGTTGTATTGAAACTTTTTGAGTTATGATGAAAAATCTAGATCATAAGTATAGAATTCTCTCCAAAATGTGGATTTTGTAAAATGCAATATTTGCTCACCTCAAAAACGTTTGTCAATGGACGCTGTTAAAACCCGATAACAAAATAACAAACAATATAAAATACTTGTCACGGTTTTTTTTTAACACTGTAACTTTTGGTTAATTATTATCATGCGTTTTTAAGTTTACCGTCAGTATAATTTTAGTAGTTTGGTAAAAAATACTTACTAATATTGTTGAACTGATCAAATTTCTTAGAAAATAAACGTGTTGATGAGCTTTTGAACCTAAATATTCTTCTTGTAAATTATAGAGGGGCTAAATATATTTCGCTTGAAAAATCAGGATTTTAATAGGTTTTTGCATTGCCGCTGTGTTCATTTATTTGCACAGTTGTCCCATTTTTTTTTTTTTTTAATTATGGTTTAAGATGTACATACCTCATACGTTATACATTATTTCGACGCGGAATTTAGACTATGTTTCGTATACGGTTATAATATAATTTGAAACAACATTAACGGTATCGAAATACTAAAATTTGAATAACGTACATTACAATATGATATAGAGTTATAATAATCAATTAAAAGTGACTATTGTAATCATTTTCAGAAAATACAGTAATGGATTACAAAGTATGGCTAATGCTTACTATATTTAATCTAAAACAATGGCCAGACCTTAGAATTATTAAACAATCAGGAATTGGTTGATCTGACGGCTTATCGGATTGGTTACATTCAATAAACGTATAAAATTAGAATTTGAATTAGTCTCAGCAAGTTTACTATAAATTGTAGCTAGTTTTCTGAAAATATGTATTATACAACTGTTTTAGCAAAGGCCATTAACGAATAATTATATGATATATTATTCAATGTTCAAAGTATTGAAAAATAAAGTAAAATCTGGGCTAAACGTCAAAAAAAAAAATCAAAATATTTATATTTTCAAAAATTAGACTAGAATATAGCGTTGGGTTACAATGTATACAATTTTCTCGAAAAGGCAAAACAAAAAAAATTAATCAAATTCTAAGTTGTTATGTGTGAACGAATCAACAAACTGAATTTGAAAATGCTTTCATTATATGTAACAAATTATAATAGACAAACAAACAACACTATATGTTTTCAGCCCAATAGACGTGAAATCCTTTTTAAAATGAATTTGTAATACCTACCATGTGTAAAATGTATACAAATATTTCAAAACATACATGAAGGGCACAGGAGAAGAAGGGTAGTAGTCCATGTATGAACATTTTAGAGTATAGCAAAAACTTGTGAATTCCTCTCCCACTATACTTAAGAACAAAAAAATCACATTACGTGCTATTCTACTAAAAAATTAATTAATTTAAACATTGTATTGACATAAAAAAAAAAAATAATGGGTTATGTTGAAAACGACAAATATAATATTAATCGTGAGTAAAACTGTTTATTATTAAATACATAAAATTAAATGACATATAGTAGTGCAAAATCAAATAGGATAATAGTGCAATATGAAAAACTTGTTACTATAAAATATAAAAAGTATTATATAATTGTAAACCAGAATTAAAATGAGGACGCCTGGTCTAAATTATCTTAAGTGCGCCTCTAGTTGGCGTACTGTATCGTTATCTGGGCTTATTTGCCACCATTCGCCATTAATTTCTTTGAATCTTATTTCAGTAGTTCCATCATTCATAATACAATTCTTATCATCAAGGTCAATTTCCATCGTTTGTATGTATGATGTTGGAAATTTTGTACTCATGTATATTCCAATCAAACGACACATTTCGAATAAAGAGACACTATATACAGGTCCATCTAAAAAATTTAACATTTTTTTTTTTATTTACTAAAATTAGCTTATTAGTTACTACTCTGTAACTTAAAATGAAGCAAATTTCGACTTTAAAACAAGCATTAAATATATCGAAAAATTCGTATTTTATGAGGTCGTATCAACTACTAACAAATACATCAAATCATTATGCAGTTAAAAAACCCGGTTTATATATTTTTATATAATATAACAGTCACTCTAAAAACCATACAACTCCATAAATCTAATATTTACCGAATACACGTCGTTCGATTATATTTTTTGGAGATCTTCCAGTAACTCTTCTCTCTTCTATAAGGGATGCCAAATTGAAACCTAAAATATTTATTAAATGACTGTGTTGAAAAGAAATCATAAAAAATATTTTAACTGCTCGTGATAACCACCCACACACAACACACGATACGCCAACGGCACGATACAACACGGGCAGGTAAGTTCGACTCTGTAATTATTTCATTATATATGCAATATATAGTATTTATTGAAATAATAAGAAGATACATAATAAAAAAAACAATCAAAATAAGAATATAATTATTATTATTGAATCGACACAATAAGGTCCGCTCAGCAACACTAATATCTCTTAGAACAATTATGTATGTTATGTTATGTTGGCAATAATGTTATCTCTTATCTCTTATCAGTTAGATTAAGTTATATTAAGTTTAGTGATAACAATTATCAGTTGAAGCCAAAATTATTTCACTTCTCTGCCACCAGGAGGCTTTGCTGAAAGGTCAGAGTGTGTACCTACTAATAATATACAGCTGTATCATTATAGGCTTCTAATACATTTTTTTTTTCTTTTTTCTTTTGAACTATATTTTTTTAATTTTTATATCTACCTAAAATATCTTTTCTTTCTAGTTTCATCAATAACTTGCAATACATTGATCCTAAAATATAAAACAAATTTGATTTAATGTAGCTACATATACTTATGGATGTAACCGATGTCATATTAGTATTAGTCAATAAGAGCCTACTAGTTACTACTTTTTTTAGTCATGAAAAAATAATAGAATATGCATGTTGTCCGTAATGTATAGCTAAACTATAGTCTACAAGTAACGCTGAAGATACGTTTATAAGTATATTTTATTGTGGTTAGGGTTCTTCCTATATATATATTTAGTAAAACCACAAGTTACTCTAATTTAATTTTCTGATTATTTGGTTAAAAGTTAAAATTATTTGTTTCCTTCTTAAATTGTGGTGAATTACTCACTATGAATTACCTATACAAATATATTAATGGTTCAAAACCCATACAACTTCATAATAATATTTACCTATTTTACGTTTCAATATATTTTCTAAAGCTGTTTTAACAAGACTTCTTCTTTCATCTGCAAGATTTGTCAAATCTAAGCTCCCAAAATCTGTGAAAATGATTAAATGACTGTGCTTTGCCGAGAAATAATAAAAATAAAACATATCTTAGTTGCTCTTGATACATAAATATTGCATACAATTTCAAAGAAATATGATATAACTAATTTTTGTACGACTAGTCATTAGTGTTAAAACCCAACGGTTGTATAATTTCTACACATGAAATCCCAAAGAACTTATTATACATTAACAATGTAGTAAACTTCAAATTTCCACTCTACAACAAGGTTTAAAGGCTAATCAAGACTACCGAAAAATTCTAAATTACCGGGGTGTCCTTCAGATACAGGAATATTAGTTTCTGTAACAATTATATCAAACATAAATGAATAAGCAGTTAATAAAACCCGGTTTAAACATTTTATATTTTATACATAACAGTCAGTCTAATACCAAAATAAATTAGACCAATTAATTAATGCAAAATATTATTGTATAAATTGTAAATTATTTCTAATTGGAACATTTGAATAAACTTTTTTCATTATACTTCGAATGATTATCAAAAGTTTAAGCATAAACATACATTTTTTTTTTAATGCTATTAATCGATTTTTTTTTTATATCTTCTATAAAACTACAAATTATCAGTTTTTTTAATTTTGTATTTACCTAAAATATTTTCTATTTCTTTTTGCATATTAGCTTGGCAAAAAGTGCATCCTAAAAATAAAAATAAATATATATATATTATAATCTACCCACATATTTTGTAAGGTTGAAACCAATATGTCGTATTTGTATTTGTCTATAAGTACGTAATATGATTATTCTCCAATTATTTTAAAGAATGAATATGCGTTTAGCATAGTAAATATTAAATATACAAATGTTGTTACTGTCTAATTCGGAATGTCTCGTGAATCCTGAAATTAAAACAAAAATCTTGTGTGCATAATGAATATCAAACAATTGCGCGGAAACAATTCCATAACGTGCAATGAAAATTATTACCCCATACAAAGTCGATGTATTCAGTTTTGTCTGAAATTAACATTACATAAATTAATGATATTGCATTTACTTTTCTATCACAATAACGGGAAGCCGAAACTCGAGGTAAAAAAAACATGGATTAGTAACCCAGAAGAAAGCTGCTCTGCCGGATATTCAACACGATAAGAATCTTCTTAGAAAATTAAATTGGAAAGAAATATAGGAAATATTTTCATAAAATTCAACAAAAACCATTACCTGGCATAGCGATCATAAAGTTAAGTTTGGCTGAAATTAACGTTATATAAATTAGATTATGATAATAGATTTGATGTTCTTTCATAATTTATTACATTATATATTAATTATAAATTGTAAGAAGTACAAATAAGAAAAAAAACTATATTAAATAGACTGGGGAATTTTTTTATGAAATTAAAATGCCTGAACTGAAGGTTAGGTTGTAGCGATGAGAATAAAATATAATAATTAGACGAGGTTGACAAAGCTAACATTAGTATTTCTTCATAAAGATTCCATTTAGATTTCGGAGATAAATATAATAGTAAAATCATTTATCAATGGCTTAAAAATAAATTTAAGTTGTAATTTTTATATAGTTTTCAAGTTTTTTTTACTTTTATGTTTATAATTTTTTTATATTAATATTAAAATTATAACTACCGAAAGGACACAAGAAATGTCTATCTTTAAGCAATTCTTCAATTACATGCTCCAATCCATCTAGAACAAACGGAAAACGATTTGGGCTATACTAAAAGATTGAAATTAGATCCAATATAATTCTTTATTATAATAATAAACCATGCTTAGTAGTAGCTGCTTAAAGCTACTCCTTCGATTAGGTTATTAAAAATCGCTACTTATAAAAATATAATGGCGTGTACACTGGTTCTACGTACCTGGGGCACTTTTTTAAACTTTTTATAGAAACTGTACATTTTAATTTACAAAAAACTTGACGATTGGGTACACATAATTTAACACATAATATTAATTTAAAATTTATCTCACTTGCTTTACGATGATCTTTATCAATAAAATCATTTATATTATACGCATGCTTGATGGCTGCATCTGTAATACATAATTTTAAAAATACGTAAGTACATAAAACCCTATTTTTTATAAAACAAAAATATTACTGACTTGTATTGAAAACTGCCTCCTTATATTTCGCTGTAAAAAAAGTGAAATATTTAATTTTTTTCAAATTTAAACTACATTAAGTTGGTAATTGTGAAAATAAAAAAAAATAATTACTTAATTCATCTGCTAAAACATTGCTGAGGACAAATGTTATTAAAAAACAGAAAAGATTCATTTTAATCTGCAACTAATAATAAACATAAAATCAATTTAGATTAATCATCAGTCAGTTTTCTATATGATAATTACATAGAAATATATTGATTATGTTATAATATATTCTATCTAATATATAAATTATAAATATTATTATTAAAGTTAGATTTAAAAACGGTACATTAGACACATTTGTTTCAAGCGTCTAAACTACCAGATAATACTTTTTAAATCAACCCATGATGGATTGGAAGCAAAACTATTTATGATTATATAGTGGAAAGAACATAATATTTTATAGAGGATGTCATTTCTATTTAAAAAAAATACCTAGTTGTAGTTTTTTCAGTTATAAAAAATATTGAGTATCTTTTCAAATTGACAATAGTACACTATTACACTACTAGGGTGTAGTGAAAAAAGCAATTTTTAAAATCGTTTTCAAATACTTCACAGGCACCTTAGTGTACACAAACCTAAAGTAAACACATAACTCAAAAAGTTTCAATACTACAAAAATGAAAAAAAAAATGCTTTGTAGAGTAGTAAATTCTGCAATTCTGTATGTACTTGTCATTACAAAACTCTAAAATTTAAAACAAATATTATAAAACTTTTTTTTTGCATTTTTTTATTTTTATAATTTTAAACTGGGCGACTATAAAAAAAATGTGAACGATTTCAAAAATTGCCTAATTTTACTCTACCCTACAATTTATATGAAGCCAAATAATAATTAATCTATTATAGAATTGTCTTCAAAATGTAGATTGTGTAAAACAGAAAACCGTTAGCACAATAACGTTGTAAATGGATGCTCTTAAGACCCGATAAAAAAATAACTAGCATTACAAAATACTTACTAACTTGTATTACACCATAACTTTTGGTTCGATAAGCTCGTGGTTTTTTAGTCTTAGCATACTATCTAAGCGTAATTAAAATGTTCAGAGTTTGATAGTAATACTTACAATTATTGTTATAGTGATAGAATTTCTTAGGCAATTATCTACTTGGTCAGCTTTTGAAACTAAATGTGCTTCATGAGACTAACGGATGGGCTTGTGTGTTCATTTTTTGGCACAGCTAGTTCATTTTTTGCTTTGTATGATTTATGATGTACATACAACACAGCTGAAATGGAAAGTGACGCACGTAACGTATGTTTTTTATTATGTTTGTATGACAAGTGTTATTAACATACACTTATATTTACACGTACATACTCTTTATTTTTGTTATAGATTTCTGTTTGTGTATAACGTTGAATATAATACGTTTTATATACGTATAAAAGTCGTTCGATTATATCTAAGCAGGAAAAACCCCGGAACAATATTATTGATCTAAGAAATCTGAGAAAAGAAAGTAGAACACCTTGACGCCCCCGACAGATATAGATGGACGGAGAGCGGTATAACAAACAATTTACTAGGAGCAAAATATGAAGTCGAAATGACTACAGATGGGGATAGAAGTTGAGAACAAGTACATTTTTATTTTTAAAAATGTTTCAAATTTATATTTTTATTCTGTATAATATGGTAAAAAAGTGGCTCTATTAAATTGGACCCCTCCCCCCCACATCGGGAATAATTCCCAAAAATCAAATACTTCTCAAAAGTCAAATATTTTTCCCAAATTAATTAATTTCTCAAAAATCATGTGTTAAAAATGATATATTTCTCAAAAATCAGATATGAAAAATCATATATTACTAATAAATCAAATATTTCTCGAGTCATACATAAAAAATTGTATGTTTCTCAAAAATCATACACTATAATAAAAAATTATAATCAAGTATAAAATATCATAAGTCATTTAGCTACATATCAACAACGTTCACAAAACATCAAATCTGACTCAAATATACGTTAAAAAAAAAGTAATAAACTTTACATGTGGAGTGACTTTCAATTAAAAAAAACTACTATGTCTTTAACATTTAATAATAGTGGTAAAAAACAAAATTTTTATGAGGTAATATTGCTCGACACAAAATGTTGAGTTTGATTAACGCCGATTATATCCTTCTTCAAAGATTCCAAGTAGAAAGGAGCATTAATTATAACAAATCTTCACATAAAACAAAATAAATATAATAATTTTTAACTTACATAATTTAATTACTATAAGGTACCTAATCTAAAACAATATAACTAGTATTTTGTAGACACAACGGTAAAAATACAAGAAAATAATTTAATCGGTTCAAAATATTATAGATTTATAAAAAATGCATACCTATATTTTAAACATAACTGAATAATCATAAATGTCATATTGATCTACTATAGTTAGTCGCGAATTGCACATTAGAAATTCAATGCATTAGTAGCTTAACAGTATTCTTCATAATAAAAAATGTCTTTAAAAATTAAAATTATTGTGATATTTGATAAATTTTACTTACTAATATTCCGGCGATTTGTCGTCAATATCTATCCCATATTAATTGCCATTATCATTACCATCAACAATGATTATTTATTACTTCCACATCAGGGTAATATATTATAATGTTTATAAAATATGGATGTAAATTTTCCAAATCTTCATGGCCAAATATTTCAAATACAACATTTTCACTCTTACTAATAAGAACAAGTTTTTGTTTATGAAATCATTACGTTTATTAGTTTTCATCGTACATTGTAGAGCAATATAAAATTCAGTCATAATTAGAGAATTTATAAATACATTTGACAGTATTTCAATGTATTAACAAAACTGCACAGGACGTTCCAATTTCTGAATACCCATTGCAAGTCACGTTACCGGTTGCACGCACTTTTTCAGTCATGATAATATAATATCATAAACATACCGTTAAAATATGAGTAGTAGGGTGTTCCTAAAGTAATAGGTGTCGAAAAAAATTAATTCAGGCCTTACCCCCCTAAATGTGTGTCTATACGTAATAAAATGTTCTACCAAAAATGTTAAGTCAATTGGTCAATGTTAACCCTTGCCGATATTGAACTAAAATCAGACTAGTTCAATTCTTCAGTAAACCGCGGTTTAGTCTATCATTTCCGTAAATATTTCGTTAACTATTAGTTAAATAAAAAAAAATTGTGATTATCAATTTTAAAGAAAACTACATTTTCTAGATATTTTTTTTCATGTATAGCGTTTTTAAAGAAATGTATTGGCTGAATTACAGAAAAATTATTACCTCAAAAATGTATCAGTTTTATAGCTAATAAAGTATTTATTTGTTTTTTAGGAAAATTGAACATCCTATATAGTTTATACATATTTTACATACTTTAACTTATTTTGTATTTATCCAACTTGTTGATTTTAGAAATTAATGGTTAAAATATAAATGTAATATAATTTATAAAAATTAATCTAGAGCACATTAATATGATTTATATAGAAATAAACAAATAATTTTCTAAAAACCATTGGATAAATGAATATGGATCAAAATTTCGAATCTTTACAACGTAATAAGTAGGAAACTAATTGATAATAAAAATAAGAAATTCAAACGCTAACATTTTTTTTAAATTTTGCCTGCAGATTTATGAAGTTAAAAACATACGTTCCCATTTAAAAAACGAAATGCGATACTTGTTTTACGTATAAGGGTTGGAGATAAAAATATTCTAAATATTGAAAAATGTTTTTTGATTTATGATTTCTAAGAAATTCATAATTTTTGAGAAATATATGATTCTTGAGAAATATTTAATTTTAATATTATAGATGTCTATTGCTATAATGTCCTCCCCCCCTTTTTGAAAATGGTATAACTTTGGAACGGAGGGAGCACTAACGATGGGGTTTTTGGCACAAACCAGCACTAACGCAGCACAATCCGATGATGTTAAAAGAAATTCAAATTTCCAATTTGAGGGGGCCAACTTAATGGAGCCTAAAAAGTATTAAGTAACTGTTTGAATCTTCACATAAGTAACAAATGTAAAATTAATCGTGAGTAAAACTGTTTATTAATAATACATTGAATGAATTGACTTATGTAAGTGTAAGATGTACTAAGTAGGATATTTGTGCAATATGAAAATATTGTTACAATAAAATAGCAATAGTATTATACAATTTTTAGACCAAATTTATAAAATTGATTCCTGGTCTAAATTATCTTAAGTGCTCCTCTAGTGGTCGTACTGTATCGTCATCTGGGCTTATTTGCCACCATTCGCCATTCATTTTTTTGAATCTTTTTTGTGTAATTCCATCATCCAGGGTACAAGTATTAATTATGGGGTCAATCCAAATCTCTTTTATGTATGATGTTGGAAATTGTGTACTCATGTATAATCCCATCAAACGACACATTTGGAATAAAGAGACATCACTTACAGGTCCATCTAAAAAAATAAAAAACATTTTTTTTTTTAATTTGCTAAATTTAGCCTATTAGTTAACTATTCTGTAACATAAAATAGAGCAAATTTCAACTTGAAAACAAGCATTAAATACTATTTATGACTATCGAGAAATTCGTATTTTATGAGGTCGTATCAACTACTAACAAATACATCAAATTATAATGCAGTTAAAAACCCCGGTTTATATATTTTTGTATAATATAACAGCCACTCTAAAAACCATACAACTCCATAAATCTAATATTTACCGAATACACGTCGTTCGATTATATTTTTTGGAGATCTTCCAGTAACTCTTCTCTCTTCTATAAGGGATGCCAAATTGAAACCTAAAATTATTATTAAATGACTGTGTTGAGAAAAATTATAAAAAATATTTTAGTTGCTCTTAATAAATAATTTCACCCGTTTAGGTGCGCCGTGCGGTCGGCTTTGTACTTATTTTATTATTCGCGTTATACACAGTATTTATTGAAATAATAATAAGATACATAATAAATAACCAATCAAAATAAGAATATAATTATTTTTATTATTGAAACGACACGATAAGGTCATCTCAGCAACACTGTTATCTCTTAGCGCAGTTAGGTTAGGTCACGGCTTTAGATAGACTAGTTGCGTATCGAGCTATGAAAAAACGGCTACAAGAGTTCTTTCTAAAAAGTCAGTGACTGTTAGCGCTCCATGTGGAGAAATCATGGAACTCATTATTTTTCACTGAGGATCCGTGTTATATTTAGCCGCGTATATGATAACAACCAGGTTATCTATTTATCAGTGCTGATAAATCGGTTATTATCATAAATGCGAGTGAATATAACATGGATCCTCAGTGTTAAATAATAAGTTCCACGATTTTTCCACAAAGAGCGCTAACAGTCGCTCACTTTTTAGAATGAACCCTTGTAGCTGCAGAAGAACATTGCGAGGTGTAGGCCGATACGCAACCGGTCTATCTGCAGCCGTGGGTTAGGTTATGTTGGCAACAATGTTATCTATTTTCTCTTATCAGCTAGATTAGGTTAAGTGATAATGCTTATCAGCTGAAGCCTAAAATAATTCATTTTTCTGCCATCAGGAGGCTTTTCTAAAAGGTCAGGGTGTGGACCTACTACAAAAAAAACTTCAATTTTTTAAATTTTATATTTACCTAAGGTATCTCCTCTTTCTAGTTTCATCAATAACTGGTAATACATCGTTCCTAAAATTTAAAACAAAATATATTTGCTACCTATTTTTTATGGGTGCTTACTAGTTTTTTGTCAGCTTGAAAGCGACACAACATTCGCGCCTACTTTAAACGTAAAATATAACGAATCGTTGTCGTCATGCAAACGTTTTGGCCAAAACATATAATTAAGAAGACTACACTATTCTCATTAATCGCAAGGAGATTATAGATCAGAAATAATCACTATTCAGGAGACAGCAGTTTATAAGTATATTTTATTGTGGTTAGGGGTTTTCTCATAATAACATACTAAACCACAAGTTACTCTTATTTAAATTTGCTAATCTTTTGGATATTTGTTAAACATTAAAATTGTTTGTATCTTTCTTATATAGTTGGTGAATTACTCTTATAAAATACCTATAAAAATATATTAATGGTTCAAAACCAATACAACTGCATATAATATTTACCTATTATCCGTCTGAATATATTTTTTAAAGCTGTTTTAACAAGACCTCTTCTCTGATCTGCAAGGATTGTCAAATCTAAGCTTCCAAAATCTGCGAAAATTTTTAAATGACCGTTTTGCGAAGAAATAATCAAAATAAAACATATTTTAGTTACTCTTGATACATAAATATTGCATTAGTTTTCAAAGAATTGTGGTATAACTAATGACTTGTACAAGTCATTAGTGTTAAAACCCGACGGTTGTTATATTTCTATACATGATATCCCAAAAAGCTTATTACACATTATCATTTTAGTTAACTTTAGGTTGATAAGGAACGAAAATATTCTAGGTGTACGCCTCCCTCCTAAATTAGAGCACCAGACATTAAAAAAAATAACAAAAACCTACACTCATGGCATATTATGTACATAATAAAGCAAATTTTAACTTCAAAACAAGCTTTACATGCTTTTTACGACTATCAAAAAATTCATAATTACCTTGGCCTTCGTCAGCATCAGGAATAGCAATGTCTGGAATCAAACATCACATCATTATGCAGATATTAATACCTGGTTCATCGATTTCATATATAAAAATCACTCTAAAACTGATATAAATTTAACCAATTTGTTGTAAAATTGTTGTTAAATTATTTCTAATAGCAACTTTTGAATAAACGATTTTTATTATATTTCTAATGATCATCAAAAACTTAAGCATAAAACAAATGGTTTTTTGAATGCTATTAATTGATTTTTTTTATTTTTTCTATAAAACTACAAATATATACGAGTATAATTATGAATTATTTATGTACTTAATATACTCCCTATTTCATCTTGCATTAAAAACTGGTAGAAATTGCATCCTACAAATTTAAAAAATGTTTATATATTTTAATATACCCACATATTTTTTATGATTAAAACCAATGTTATGTTTTATTGGTATTTGACTATAGGTACGTAATATAATTATTCTCAAAGTATTTAAAAAGAATGAACACCTATGCATTAAGTATATAAAAAATACAAATGTGGTTACTTGTCATTAAGGGTTGTTGCGTTAAATCTAAAATTAAAACACAAATCTTGTGTGCATAAAGAACAATAAACTACTGCGCAGAAACACTTTCATGGTGTGCAATGTAAATTATTACCCGGTATAAAGTTAATAATGTCCGTTTTGTCTGAAATTAACATTACAGAAATTAATAATATTGCATTTAATTTTCTATCACAATAACGGGAAGCCGAAACTCGAGGTAAAAAAAAACATATGGATTAGTAACCCGGAAGAAAGCTGCTCTGCCGGATATTCAACACGATAGGAATCTTTTTAGAAAATTAAATTGGAAAGAAATATAGGAAATATTTTCATAAAATTCAACAAAAACCATTACCCGGCATAGCGATCATAAAGTTAAGATTGGCTGAAATTAACGTTACATAAATTAGATTGTGATAATAGATTTGATGTTCTTTCATAATTTATTACATTATATATTAATTATAAATTGTAAGAAGTACAAATAAAAAAAAACCATATTAAATATACTATAAGGTATCATCATGAAATAAAAAGGGCTGAGTTTAAGCAATTGTAGCGATGATAATAAAATACATACAATAATTGGACGAGGTTGACAAAGCTAAGTTTTTTTTATAAAGATTCCATTCAAAATATAATAATTATATCACTCATCAATTGGTTAAAGATAAATTTAAGTTGCAATTTTTATTTACTTTTCAAATATTTTTTTCTACTTTTTTCTTTATAATATATTTTTTTTAATTATTATTATAATTATTACTACCGAAAGAATTGTAATCTTCATCATCATTAACCATTACTTCAATTACATGCTCCAATCCATCTAGAATAAGCAGACAAATATTTGGGCTATACTAAACAAATTGATATTAGGTACCATATAAATAGTAATAATAATAAATCATGCTTAGTAGTAGCTGCTTAAAGCTATTTCTTCGAGTAGGTTATTCAAAATCGCAACTTATAGAAGTATAATGTCCTGTGCATAGGTTCTACATACCTGGTGCACTTTTTTAAACTATTAATAGAAACTGTACATTTTAATTTACCAAGAACTTGACGATTGGATACTCATAATATAACATTTATATAATGGCATATTTATTTTAAATATATCTTACTTGCTCTAGAATTATCTCCTACAATTAAATCATTCTTATTATACGCATGCTCGATGGCTGCATCTATAATACAATTAAAAAATATGTAAAAAATCAGTGAGTTCAAAAACCTAAAGAACTTTTTTATTTATAAAACAAAAATATTACTGACTTGCAAGAAACACTTCCATCTTATACGTCGCTGCAAAAAAGTGAAATATTTAATTTGTTTTCAAATTTAAACTACATTAAGTTGGTATTTATGAAAATAAAATAAAATAATTACCTTCTTCATTTGCCGAAACATTTACAAAGACAAGTATTATTAAAAAACAGAAAAGTTTCATTTTTATCTACAAATAATAATAAACAAACAATTAATTTAGATTAGTCATAAGTCAGTTTTTTTTATGATAATAATATAATAATAAATATTGTTATTAAAGTTAGATTTAAAAAAGGACACATTTGTTTCAAGCGTCTAAACTACAATACAGTGCTATTAAATCAACGCATGATAGATTTAAATAAAAATTATTTATGATGATATAGTCATAGAAAGAGGATAATATTTTAGAGGGAATAATGTTTTAGATGCATTTCTGTTAAAAAAAAAAATCCTAGTAATAATTTTTTTAGTGTACACCTAATGTAAACTCATAACTGAAAAAGTTTCAATACTACAAAAATTAAAAAAGATAAACTTTGTAGGGTAATAAATTGTGCATAATATACTTGTACTATTTTTTCTAAGCTTTGCATTTTTTCTTTTTTATAACTTTAAATTGATCGATTATAGAAAAATGCAAAAAATACAATTATACACGTATATTATGCAGAATTAATTTCTTTACAAAAAATGTTTTATTATAATTTTTGTAGTTTTTGAATTTTTTTAGATACTCCAACTCCAAAAATTCATGTGTATGTGGTACCTACTTACAAGTATTGATATATTGATGGAATTTCTTAAACAATTATCTACTTGATTAGCTTCTGAAACGAAATGTTCTTCGTGGGCTCATAATATGTTCATTTAGTGGCACAGCTAGTTCATTTTTTTTTTTTTTTTTTTAGTACGATTTATGGTGTAGGTATACAGCTTAAATGGAAAGTGTCAACGTATGTCTTTTATTAAATTTGTATGATAAATGCTATTTATACATACAAGTGTTATTAACATACATTTGTATGTACGCGTGTAAGTCATTTTTGCTATAGATTTCAGTTTGAGTTTAACGTTAAAGGTTCTTAATTTTTATTGGCATGAAAATTATGTATATTAAAACGCTTAAGTCTAGGTAACGATTAGAAAATATATTATTAGTTTCGAGCTTAAAGAGGACTGAGGTTTGAGGATTCAGAATATTAAAATTTAAAGACCATTTTCCAGTCAAATATAACTGGTTAAAATTTCATGTAACTCATGTCTTCATGAAATACATAAATAATAATATTATACATATGTATCAAACTATTATTAAAATTGCGTAAAATAATTTACCTATTATAATAAGACTTATACCTACGCAGTTCAAAACATAAGTCCGTATGTTTTGACAAGTTTGTATTAGGACAGGTCAAATTATTAAAAAATTACAAATTATAAGATCTTGTTGATAGGGTTAAACAAAATTCCACAGTTGTTAAGATCTCATACTTTGTTTTTTTATTTATTTTAATACAAAATTAGTTTCAATAAAAAATTAAATAATAATAAATTATCTGAAGCACTGAATAAAAATAACTACTTATATCTACCAAATGATTTTTTTCATCAGCTGTCTACAATTACTATTATCACTATACGTAGTATAAAAGTTACAACTATGGCTGTTTTTTTTAATTGATACATTATTTTACTTTTTACAAACTTGGCAATATTTAAATTCAATTATTTTTATTAAGAAGGATATAATTTTGGTTACCCATCTAAAAAAAAAAAATCTGCTCTGCACTGCTTCTACATACATGTTATATAAAACGGTAGTACTACAATATCTAAAACAGTATCATCCCACACAAGTTTGGAAATATTTACTTATCTTTCAAAAAGTTTTAAATATTCAAATTCAATTATTTCCCATAACTATATTTCGGATTTGGATCAAATCTGAATTCATCTAGGCCAGTAAAATATTTAATAGAACATTAGTTTATTAAAAAAGTTATTAGTTGCCCAATAAAGAATAATAAATTTTGTGTTTTGTGCTCGTGAAGCATTGTCCGGTGTGCGGTGCCGTCCTAAAACAAATTTTTTTTAGTGACTATCAAAAATATTACAGTATCCCAAGTCAAAATAAAAATACTCTACAAAATATCGTAGTTAATTCAACTTAAAAAAATAAAATATGTACAAATAAAAATTAACATTAGCTAATTTAAGTTTTATATTAACTTAATTTCAACAAGAAAAAAAAAATCATTAATAAATGTTTTTCTAACGCTATCAGCTGTAAGTTTTGATCGTAGAATTTTTTTTAATACGGATTATCACTAATTCGTTATACTGTTATATAGATGTTTGCAATTAACATGCTCAATTTTCCTTTTTAATTTTCTCTAAATAATTTGTATCTTTAATTGGTAGTTTATATTTTGGCAGATGTTTTCAATTAAGACATGTTTGACAATTAATGTAAATTGTAATGGGATCTGCGAGTAATGGAGATACCCGAGCCGGATTCTTTTTCGCTCCATTAAATAACTATAGGAAAGGAGTAGGAAAACTTTTTTATTTAATAACACTTTGAAAATTAAACGCCCTGTGGCAACTACAAAAAAAAAATACATCTTCAAAAAAGTTCTGTTGTGGTTTACCAATAAATTAAATAGTTTTTATTATTTTAAAAGTAATCATATTGATAGGTAAGTTTGGGCAAGGTCATCACAAACGCTCTTTAGCTGTATTGCCATCAACATGCTCACCATCTTGAACTTGATATATTTTACTAATTAATCAAATATAATGTAAGAAAAAAACGGTTTTTAAAAACAAATGTATAATATATTATTTAATTGAAAAGATAACTATGCATAATACAAATTGTGTTACATGGTTATAAGTAAACCGAAGGAATTATTTGTATATATATATGATCATAGATTGGTTGAAAAACTGACATTTTCGGTACAATTACTGCCAAAGAAGACTGAAATAATACAAAGAATGCATGATTAATAATAATTTTACACAAATTAAAATACATAATAATTTATTTCAACCAACACAAGAGACTTAGAAATAACATAAAAATATTTTGACAAAAACAAAATAAACTACATGGCTACTTTTTGTGTTAAAATTGAGAAACATGTTTTATTTTATTTTCTGACAGCTGTTGTCAATAAGCGATACTTTTAGGCCATAAAATAAGTTCATGTGTAATTATTTTTGCAAATTTTTGATTAAGCAAGATTTTTCTGAGTACCGTCAATTGAGTCTTGCTCGAGTAGGAAAAAAGCATATTTTTAAATAATATGATACAAAATAATTGAATTTTTGCAACTATTTTTTTTTTTTTTTTTAATACTATCTTATAATAAATTATGCAATTGTATAATCGTTGCAAATTAATACCTGAGTAGTCCAAAAGGAGGTCCTCCGATTTCTGGGCCTTTCTTGAAACCTAAAAAAAATTTGTACCCAAAAATTAATACATTGGTACAGGATTTATTATGAAAATATTATTCAAATTAATATTAGGTAGCTGTATGAAGACAGCATGAATAAAGTCTCCGATGAACTAATGATCTGATAAAAATAGTTAAATTCCCACAGTATCTAACATCGTCCAAGACATACCATAAAATGGGGGTATCGCAAAATGTAGATACAAGTAACGAAGAATAACATTTTTTTAAGTCATGTAATATTTTAAAATGTCAACTAGAAACAATGATATTTTATTCCTAGTGTTGCGTTTTTGACTGGAAATAAAATAAAATTGTATTTTTTATGTTATGCTAAATAATTTGTTTTTACGCCGATTTTTAATCAGCAGTCCAAAATACATGAACTTTAATAGTTTAATAGTTAAGCTCTAGCGACTATGGTTTTTAAAGAATAGGCATAAGTATTGAGTTGATTGGCAGTAGGATGTTTAAAGTGTATGCATAATAATTTCTGAAATTAGATGTAAAAAATCTATAAGAACATAACGACGCTGCAACCGTCTCTTGCGCGATCAAAATTGCCAAATTTCGAGTAGTTATAATTTCTGAACCAGCGAGACTACAGATTTACGATTTCGGAAAACTAATTAGCATAAAAAAACAAATAATTTGGCAACATAAAAGTGTGCCTCGTGAGGTAAATTTATACTGATTTTATAATAATGACAAAGTCAACCTAAAGAAAAATACTAAAAATAATATATTATATATTTTACCCATGTATATAACGAATGGAATGAATGCAGCGTGATACGAAATCTTGAGTACCTCGGTTACATACTCCAGGCGAGCCTTGATGCCGGGTTTGAGAAGTCCCATTTTCTTTTAGAGGTTGAAAGATTCTACTTTAAACGAGTACGGTAAGTAAGTGTTGAATTTTTTTAGAAAAGTATTGGAACAGTTTGGATATAGACCACAAGTTTGTCGGCTTGGAGACTGATTTATTGTTTAGCAAAAGATGAAAGATAGTAATGATAACCGTTATCAAACATACCATGGTCGCAGTAACGAAATGACATAATGGTTAATGATTTTAAGCCGCGTTTTTTGAAAAAGGTCAGTAACGCAAAATATGAATTTCAAGTAAAAAAGTTACTATACAATTTTTCGAAATAAAAGTTCCATAAGAACAGCTATTTAAAAATTTTAGAATAACAGTTGTAAAGGAATTTTTATTAAAAAGCTATAAAATATAAGTTATTTCGAATGCACTGAACCTTTAATTGTAATAAAGTTATTAAAGAAATTGCTAAAAAATATAAAAGTTCTGCTAATTTTTCATTTTTAAACAAAAAATAATTCAATGCCTGGTTTTAAAATATAAATCTTAATCCAACAACACAAAATTAAAAATCATTTACAGTCTTATCAGATAAATGAGAATGTTTACTTTATTGTTGATTAAATATAATTTATTATAAAAAAATGACTACCTAGCTATTACTTTTTTTGTCTGAATTTTTAAATTACATTTTGGCTTCACAAGATATTTTATTTTAATTGTTATTAAATTACGTTAGGTTTTATCACTGGATGGCTTCCCTCCTCATATTACATCACCGTTTTTATTTTTCTCTGTATATATATATTAATATTACTACTTGCTTGTTATGCCCTGTAGCATAGATTGTAAAAACTCTTCTTATTATTATTAACCAAGTACAAAATACCTATTAAACAATCAAAGCCCACAAGTTATGTTTTTTAGTTTTAATGCTTTAATATTTAGTAGTTAATGAAATAAAACAAAAACTATTTCACTTACCGATTTTAAAATAAAATATTATTTTATATATATTAAAACGCGTTATTTGTTTCAAATTCCTTACAAAAAGAAAAATGATTTTGCACTTAACGGGTTACAAACAGTAACATGTTATTTTTGTAATTTTACTTCTCTAGTATTTATGGTTGGAACTTGAATTTTTATTTCCAGGACGCTTGATACATCTCGATCATCTAGATCAATTTATAAGATTGGAGAATATTTTCAATTTTGTTTTAATAAAAGTAGGTTACAATAAAAGATAGATACAAGAAATACAATAATAAGGAGAGCAAAAACTACTAGCTTCTCCATTGGGATAAAACCTCTTATCGGAGAGCAAGAATACTTATCTAGAATTAACAATTATTTGAAATAAAAATAAATAAATAAAATGAAATGAAAATAAATACAAGTGTTAATTACACGGATATATAACAAAAACTTATGTGCGGGTAACAATACATATTTAAAAATTAAAAACAAGAATTTATCGGTAACAATAATGGAGTTGTTATTTGCATTATCAAGTTAAATTGTTAATCTTAAAGTACTTTGTCTACCGAACTAACAGTTTAGACCTAGTTAATAAGTTAAGTCACTTGTAGTTGAGAAATGGTGATTTGTAGATAACATAATATATTTATTTAAAAATATAACAATTTATCACTTTATACCAAATGAGTTTAAACATGTAATTTACTAACAACTAATATACCTATTATTTCCTAACTTACAGGTGGTTCATTTCTAAATACAATAGACACGCGACGTTTACGCACAATTCTTTTTCCGTTAAACGGTTCGTCGTTGTCCGGTAATATTTCGTGAGTGTACTTGTATCTCACATCATCTCTATAAAATCAAAGTTTCTATTACGCAATTAAAATAAAACATTATAATGTATTATAATATTGTATTTACTTCATTATGTATAACGACCGTCGAGGCAACAACGCACGCACATGGATGTGAGGTTCGGCTTCATCGGCTAATCGCATTATTGAATCGGAGAGTAGACTTAAACCCGCAATAATATTGCCACAGAACTAGGATTAATGAAAAGTTAACATTTTATAGTTAAAAAATCAAATTACTTGTCATAGTAAACTTTTGAGCAAAACATTGTTATTGCTTGAGGTGTTTAAATAACTATCGACCATGCTTACTTTTATACTGTCGACGTGTGCTTTGACATAACCATCGTCGCATATATCGAGCACGTGTACTCGTTGCATAGGTACTGTGTTGGAGTCGTCTTTAAATGCTAAGCTTCTCAATCGCTGAATTATGTCTCCGTTGGTTTGATTTTTCCAAACGACAACTTCAGTCTCTCTGTATCCATGTATTGCCTTAAACGTCATCGAACGGACTGTTGTCAAACTGGCAGTTAACAAGCGTGTACAACCAAATATAATATCTATACTTACATCGTCCCAATGGTCGTGTTGGTAGCGCAAACGCTTCAAGGATTTTTCTATTTCATCGATGAGCTGTACTTCTTCGTTTTCCGTTACCGCGTCCGGTACAACGGTAAAATACCGATCGAAGACATTTTGCCTGGAAGCGGCCACCTCTTTCGGGAAACGACAATCGATGTATTGTTTGTTGTTGTTACAGGCTAAAAGCGAATGTGCTTCAGGGACGGAAGTCGTGAATCGTCGTAATCGCGTTACCGGCTCATGAAGTACAACAAATTTGTTTGTGGAAGTTTTCAGAAACGAAGTAATCTTCATGGTGTTAAAAACAACTATTGGTGATTTTATTATTTTTTCAAGGTTTACTCATTTTGCTCACAAACATGAAACATCACTACAAATGGCCATTCCTTAATTATTATTGGTTTTAGTTTTACACTGAACGGGACGTTTTACGTTTGTAATTTTTTTTAGCGTTATTTGTTATCAATAAGATATCTTATATTTGTTATCTAAGTTGTTAGATAAACAGCTGGTGTGATAACAGCTAAACTCGTAATTCTTTTAAAAAGTTGAAAAATTGAAATAAGTAGTACTGGAAATTGGAATCCTTTATTTTTATGTGTAATTAATCACGATTAAACATTTTTTATTTATATTTTATTACAAAAAACTGACACAATCAACTATCAAGCGATATCAAAATATATAGTCAAAATTACAATTTGCATACTTACTAAGGCCTAAGTACCTATAACTTCTGTAATGAACTGTAGAGTAGTAAAAGAGTACTTTTTCGACTGCCTAAATACCGTTTGCGAAATACTAGTATTTTGATGGTGTATAATACAATACAAAACACGTCTTGTAGTCGTATGTAAAAAAGTAAAGTTAATAATTGTCTAAACAATTATGTTTTAAGTTGTTAAAAAAAATAACTTTGTATAAGTCCGATCAATATTGGTCACCTGTCATCAATTAAATTCTTTTAAATTGTTCCTTATCGTGTCCTTACAATTTTTCTTTGTTTGTTTTAGGATTCAAAACGGCAATTAAAAGTTGTTTTACCTACCAAGGTGAAGTTTGTTGTATGTACCTACTAAAATATTGAAAAACGTTATATAGACGCTACAAAAGTATTATGAAAAAATGTTATATCTTATATCGATAAAAACTCGACCTCCTTACTGTATTAATATTACACATGGTACCAGAAAAAAAAATAACCACAAAGATTTTTGGCTACAACAGTGATCGAGGTTTCGTTAGATAGCTCTGAAGAAGTACGCCATACTGCCTATAATTTACCTATAATAATAATAGGTAAATTATCATAGGTACTATTTACAACTACCTAAGTGTTTATGTTCAATGTGAGTTATGTCATTTGAAATTTAAAAGTTGTTGGCATCATAATTATTTAATGAGATTGGGTTTTAACTCAAGTTACTTTATGGGTATCACATCTTTTTTTGTTTTTTTAATGTCCTTTTATGAAGTACCAATATTATTTATTATTTATTAAACTGGCTTGACGCCTAATAGAACATTAGGTATACGACATATTGTAGCACGAAAATTATACAAAATTATATAAACTAAAATACATCACATCTTTAAAAACCAAAAATTGTCATTAAAGAGAAACACACTTTTAAAGTACCTAAATTAAATAAGTATTTTGGACTACTGTTTGACGTCCAGATTTTAGAAATTTCAACCTTTAATAAGTCAAGGACAATAAATCAATTCTGTTACAGGCGTGATTCGTCTGTAATCGAGCAATAATGTTTCAATATTTAAATTCCTTAATATTTAAATTGATTTATAATTTTTGTAACGTGACTTTTCATTTTTAACTAAAATTAAGTGATTTCTAAACATCTAAATTACAAAAAATGTTTGGTTCCTTCCAATATTTGTAGCGCCTGACATTTGCAGTAGCGATCATACAAATATAGCAGTATTATTATTTGAAACTGATAACAAAAAAGCAATTTTTAAAGGCTTCAAAATTAAATTTGTATTAAATTTTTTACAGTAAGGAAATCTGTATGGAAACGTATAAATCAAATATCAAGGTCTTGTTATCTATATAGTAAATATTGAAAAATAATGTACTTAAATCTCAATTATTGTACATTATTGAAAATAATATACAGCAACACCATATAAATATAAAGTTTCTAACTATAATGTTTCAATCATATTTCCTTAAATATTTTAAGTGAACTATACATTTTGTAATGTGATTTATATTTTATAACTAAAATTAAGTGATTTCTAAACACTTAGATTATAAATAGTAATTTGTTTCTATCAGCCGATCATCGATTTTCAAAACGCAAATTTGTTAATTATCATCCGTATTCGATAACTTCATCATAATATTTGCTATTGAATATGATGTTTGTAAAACCTGGAAAACATATTTTATTATAAATTCAATTAATTATTCACAATAATCTTTATGTATGTATCCATATAAAACCAATTAGCAGAGAACATATTTCAATATATTTATAATGTACATTTATATTTATAATTTATTTATGTGCCATCAGTTAGTTTATTCGCCAATCAACAAGATTGGTACTTTTTTTTGCAATACATTTTTAAAAACGTCACTAATGTATGCTTATGAATAATACAACATACTCGTAAAACTTACATTCAAAAATAACTTCAAATCGATTATTTTTGTAGGTGTAGCTCTAATGTTCAACTGATTTGCATTATTCATCGCCATCGCTAACAACAGTAATTTTCTAAATCGCATATCCATTGCCGTCCAGTTACAACTGTATAATCCAAAGTTTAAACCATCTCTCTAAAACCAGAGAAATATTTGTATTCACAATAGACACCTTTATATCATTTAACCTGAATTACCGCCTCGTTCATAAGGTCCGAAAAGTATAGGTAATTGAATAACTGACCAGCCGCACAGATGTAAGTGGCAATGAATTGCAATAGGCCAATACAATTAACAGGATGAGTCAGAAATACCTAAAGAAATAAGACAATTTGTTAGAAATTAAATTTGTTTAAAATTAAACAGCTAACTTGCATTCAACCAAACTAGGCTTAACGTATTAGAGCTTTTCCCAAAAACGTATAACTTAACGAGCTATTTTTCATAAAATCTAATAGACTACCAGGATAAAGTACACATTTTTGAAATAATAAGAATATTTATAATAATAACGATTTTAACGAGTTATTTTCTTAAAAGTTAAATTAGTCCAAAAATATAATTTACAATTTTAACCTATACAAAAAATTATAATAAACAATGTGAACTGCACAAAAAAAATATTTTCAAAAACAAAAACTTGTTTTTTCCTATCAATGTGGGGAATGAAATTGACATGATCGATAAAGTCATTACTATTTATGAACAAGAATCAATTGTATCTATTCATTGTTTTTTATTGACATTGAAAACGTGTTTTATTGCGGTTAGTACATCGGGTCGGGATTAAAAAACTAAACGAAAGGAAAACAGACCAACATGGATATACGTAAAAAACCTGAAATTAATTTACAATAAAATGATAAAATACCAAAGCAATGTTGTAAGCAATTGGTATAAGTGAGCCCGAATAACAACCAACATGTAATAATGCACTGAATCGAACTATGGAACAGAATTCTCTCATATGCCTAAAAACACAATAAACAAAATACATATAGATTAGAATATATTTTAAATACATATTAACAATATTTTTAGATAAGACGAAGATAGTAAAATTAAGCTTACAAATGCACTTTTTGGGTATATGAAATTTTTGATTTCAATTCCTCAAATACTTCGTCACCTTTAACTGTAATATGACATAAAAGGTAAATGAAATTACTAATTATAGTTAAGGAATAAGTTGTTTTTTAATAGACTTTATCATCAGTGACAATCCTTGAACGTTTACCTAAATTTGGTCAAGAGAACACTAAGCAAAAATTGTATTTTTATACTATTGTAAACAGTTATTAAAGTGATATTTCTGTTTTGATACCATTACGATAATTCGTAGTGATACGGTATTTTTCAATTTTTGTCGGCTAATAGAGTAAATTTTGTTTGAAATTAAAACGAATGATTCGGTCATAAAATCAGGAAAAACTTGACTAATAAGTGAAATTAATAAATATATATATAAAATATTTTTTTTTTTTTGTAACACATTTATTTTTGTGTTGCACTTACTTGTTTCGTTATCGCCATGTCCAAATTTCATCAAGTCTGATATTATAATTTTATAATGGATAGTTATTGCCAAACAGAGTGAGAATACAAATATATCAAAAACAAAAGTGTAGAATGTCAACAAAAAGACAAACGAGGCTTCAATTAAATAAATAAAATAAAAATATCTGTTGTAGGATTGGTCAGAAATCGGATAATAAAAATTAATGATATTTATGGTTGTCGAGTTAATCGAATTTTTGTTTGACATTGTAAAATTATAAAGAATTGGGAAAACTATCCATAAAAATACAGTGAAACAAATCAGAATCCAATAATAAAATAACCTTGCATTTAGTTTTTTTAATCTTAATACAGTTTCATTATCCAATCGATCTTGCTGAATCACAAAAAAAACAGTACATGTGGTAGCAAATAAGTTCAAAATGTTTTTAGCCTTTCTGACTACTGTAAGACTTTTTTGAAAAGCTACAACCCCTAAAATATAAATCGTTACTATTTGACTTAACCTGTTATAGTCGATATTATGATGATTTTTATATTTGTAAATGAGACCAACAATACTGAACAAAAGTATTATGACTGAGTATGTGACTAATATGAAATTTATTTTTGGCCATTGTTTAATTAACCATACAACTGAAGAAAACCGTCTTAAGAATCCATGTTCAATTCCGTTGTGAATCACTGCTTCCTTTCTACCATTCGATAAATCCACCATATTTTCTTTTGTGCCTGAAATAGAACCATTGTATCATTCTTGTATAATTTAGGAATAAGTGATTTCATACTAAAACTGAACCCAGTATTTATTTAATTTTTGTATGAAATTACTGATATCAGTTTTATATAAAGTGTTATTTTTTGTTTTTTAATAAAAAAAAAAATGTAATTTATAAAAGAAGCCTATATTTTATTGTACTGTTTGTATTTATTTTGTATTTTATTTTATTGAGGAAATTGTATTTTTTTTTAAATCTTGTGCACTGAAGTTAAAAATGATATCTTACAACATGAACTATAAAACTTATAACCGTGAAAGAGAGGCTGAGACAAAGAAAGAGAGGTGAACTAAGACTATCATGGCTTATATTTTAATTTCTTTTTTTAACAAAATATTTTTTCAAATTTCGAAATCTCAGAAATGTGCCTACATATTATTTTTACAAGCTGCTTGTAAATATATTTTAGTTTTTTTATACCACATTATTTTTGTTAAGTGATTGTTTAAATGATAGCCCTTAAAATTTAGGGTTTGCAGGAT